CTCCATGTGGTTTGCCCCGGTAAACGGGACGGGTCCGTCCCCGGCTCGCACGCTCCCTTACATGCTCAATCCACACAGGTGTGCACTTTCATCAGTTTTCGACTGCACGGTGTCACCGGTATTTGTCCCCGGCTTCATTATAGCGATCGCTCTGGAGCACTGCATTTCTTTCTCCACTCGAAAGCTCTTCTGTCATAATCCTCTGACAATCCCCCTTGTTCGGGGAGTGAGATATTATCTGGTCAAGTTTTATACATTTAACATTCATTTTACATGTGAGTAGAATAACTAACTGCTTTTCCGTGCTCCTTTCTTTGTAGGAAGAAGCAGAAGTTTTAACCATCTTCCCATGGCATCTGACTTTTTTGAAGAGGAGGTAAGGTTAACGTCATGTAAAATTACCCTCTTTATTTCTGATGTTCCACTAATCTTTCTTCTGTAGGCATACATTTTGGAAACTGTGGTGAGTTCATGCATACTTTCATGCCTTGCAAACATAATACCAGAGCTGATTAATAAACGGTAGTGATAGGACTCTTATGCCGTCAGGATTGTAAGTGCCTATCAAACTGACATTCTCACTACATTATGCCACTATTATATTCTTTGCAGTTTTAAAAGAACTGTAGATAATTATTCAAGATATTGAAACATTTAGTTTATAGTTCTATTGCTGTGGTTGTCACCTTCACTTTATATCAAATTTGAGACTCATTTCTTAAGGATGTCTCTATTTTCTGCTTTATTTGCACATTGATAGCTTTACTGAATGACTAGTCACAGCAACTTTTTCCTCTGATAGCAGCATATTAAAATGTGAAAGCCTAAGACTAATCTGCTTTGCAGGACTTTTCAACCACTTGCTGGAAGGGAAATAGTTTGTTTCAAGACTCTTATGTTGTTCATCAGTGCTGTTAACAAACGTGGGGCTTGAGGATACATTTGCTGCTTCTCTGCATTTTTGCTGAAGGTCCGTGCATTTGAAGGTATGGATGAGTTCTCGGCATTAGGAGTTTGTGCATTTTGCAGTTGCCCATGAAACTGTAACAGTGCAGGTTGATATTAAAATTCTGGACTGTATATTTTTCTCATAATTTTTCTGAATATAAATTGTTAATGCAATAGAAAAAATGATTGCCCTTAAAATCTTATTTAGTAGCGGGAAAGATTTACAGTCTGGCTGTGCACTGTTCACGTTATTTAAATTTAGGCATGTGAATTTAGATTCGGCTTCTGTAAATAAATAATTAAAATCCCTGTTTTTATAGCCTTCAGTCTGTTCTGTTGGTCCTGCAAAGCTGTTAAAAGGGTTATTGGTTAGTTTAGTAGTTGGACTCCAGTAGGGTTTTTGGTATGAGAGGAACTTGGATTTGAGATGACTGCACAAAATGTGACCCAAAATATAGCAACACTTGGATTTGCATATTTGTTTTTACTATGCTGGTTTCTTTTGCATGATTTCATTTAGATTGTGCAAACAGGGTACAGCATAAAATGGCTTAATGAATCAGGGCATGAATGTACAGTAGGGATCAGCTGAGAATATTTTCTTTCTGGGAGAAACAAATGGAAAGAGGCAGAATGATCCTAAAAGTAACAGCAAACTATAGTTTAAAAGTACAGCTCTTGGTAGGCTCTAACTGTAAGTGGTTTGGTTCCAGGTGGCTTATAGTGAATGGAGTTAAACTTGGCTATCTTGGATATGATACACCTTAATTTAATTAATTTAATAGCTACTTTCTGTTGAAACTTTAAAATCTAACGATCCTGTTTTTATTGCAGTCCTTAAAGATCTAATCATTCTTCTGTGTGTCTGAGATGTAAAACTTAGTGCAAGGAGAGGCAACAGATTGGTTCCCTCATATGATTTTGTTGGGTTTTTTTGAGAGTACTTAAAAGATTATGATGGATAATGCTGTCTTGCCAAAGAATGCCGACACAGGTGTTCATCATTATCTTAATTAAGATCCTGAGAAAATGTCATCTTTCGGCATGAATTATGAAGGGAGATGCATTAGGAGATCATTTCAACTTTTTTTTCTTTTTTGTTTTTCTTTTTACAGGGGTAGATGAGAAGGAGGCTGTTTTCTCAAAACCTTTTTGATATTTCTTTATCAGAATGCCTGACCTTAGACAGTGAATTTGTTTCTTCAGTTCAATTTGGGACAGTATTACTCAACAATTATGTACATGATGCTAAAGGGAATCCTCTTAAAGAAAAAAAATTAAATAGTAATTCCCCTACAAGATACCTTGTTTCATTTAAAGCTGTCCTATTAAAAAAAACCTGTGAGACTCAGATGGTAGGGGAAATTGCTGCTGGAAACATCTGATAAGAGATGTTTCATACAGTATATTTTGAAGTATTAACAACTCATAAGAGAAAAATAAATACACGTGAATATTCATTCTTTTAATTAGGCATGAAGAGAAAATTTTCTTTCTCATTTTGCACTACCATAGAAGTAAAACTAATTAGTGTGCATAGACGAGGGAGGGGCCTGTGTATTTCTATGTTAAATCAATACATTATTAACTGGGCAAGAGCTAAAAAAAATGCATGTAAAATATTGGCTGTAGAACTTCGAGGCCCTTTCCTGCAGACACTGCTGCTGCTTCCCTCAGGGAGTGCTGGGAGTTCCAGGTGCAGTGGAAGTGCTGGTGTTTTGTGGCTCTCAGCCTGGGTAAAGGAGGAGCTCTCTGGGCAAGACACCCTCAGTGCTCTGTTGTTTCTTATTCCTGAACTTCCTCTGCCTGAGATGCTCCTTGTTCACACTCTGTGTTTGTGGTCTGAGAGAGAGGTGTAAACTCGTGAACACCTAGAATTTCTCTTCTGTGCCTAGCATTTGGCTATTAGGTAGCTTAGAGTTTTGTTTTTCTCTCCAAGGCTTTCTATTTTAAATCACTTCTTGTCGGCTAAAAGAAGTGTGATTATCAGTTCCAGTGTTATTTTTTTTTTTAAATTGTTTCAGCAGCCTTTTTAGTGTGTGGAATAAAATACAGAAGTGCAGCTGACAAGTCTTTCAAGCACCTAGTTATTGTACTGAGCATGTAACTCCAAAGATCTTGACAGTATCATGGGAGAACCTGAAACTGCATTTCAGTTTCCTTGAAGTTTCCTGTAATTAACTTAAATGGCATTATTTGCTTGAATTTGTTGGTATAGTATGGACTAAGTTAAGAATGTCTTTAGGGTTTATTTTACTTACAGTTCCATGGACATATGCAGAAAATAGACTCTGAGTGAAAAATGAAAAACTGCTTTCTTTCATGTCTAGAACAAGTTTTTCACTTAAAGCCAGCCACATCTACTGTTAGTTGGCTCTTAGAGCAAATGAGGAGCAGCTCAGTGGGAAGGATGGCCGTGGCTCCCTGTGCTGTTTTATGGGATCTACATGAGCCCATAGCTTCCCTCATGGTAGCAAATTCCCTTTTGCCTGCAGGCTCTGCAGCGTGGTGGGAGCTCCTGCAGCTGGAATCTGGCCTTCAGTGTGGGTGTCAGAGATGAGTGTCTTAATAGCAGCGTTGTGTTCCAAAGATTTTGTGCTTTATCTGCTTTACTTACATATATTTGCAGTCCTTATGACTGGTGTTTGCAGGAGCTCAGCAGTACCTCTCTGAGGAGAAGCATAAAGCCAGGTAGCATTTCTGGCCTTTCACCCAAGGAATTCTTTTTAACAGTTCATAATTTCTGGGATTTTATTAGAGCTTTTTAGTCTGTATTCCGTAATGTGAGTGGTGCAGATGTAGATGATTCTTGAAGCTGTTTTTTGCAGATTAAAGTGAATGTATTTATATAACCAGCCTTTTTTTCTTTTTTTTTCTTTTTTTATTATTAAATCATTGCTTGAGGAGAAAAACAAACCCTATTCACCTTTCAAGGTGAATATGGATCACCATAACAGAGTTTACTGTACTAATAAACATGTGACTGATTACTCTCCTGCTCTTCTTGAAGGAGTTGCACCTTTCTGAGCAATTTCTTTTTTCCCAACAGAGCAGAAACGAGCTTTTTTTTCTTGTAAGCACATATTTTTCACAGTACTTTTTAGCATTTCTAGCTCAGATGACGAACACAGCATTTACCTCTGAAATATTCTCTGCTGACACCTACAGAAATTTTTATGCCCTTCAGATTTAATTTTGTGTAAAATAATGCATGGTATAATATGTAGGTCCCGTGTTTTCAATTAAGCTGTATTAGGTAACTATGCTCTTCTTTCATATCCCATAGCAAAGTATCAATATCCAGATGGCAGTGTGCTGGGATAAAAGATAGCTACAGGCTTGGCTGCTACTGTAAAGCCAAGAACAAACATTTTAGCCTGTGTGATAAATAAAACCTAGGTTGAGACTCTCGGCGTATTGGAGTTGCACTAAATAATTCTACAGTGCTGTTTATTACTGGTTTCATTGGATAATATGCAGCTGTAAAACCTGCTTGAAGCTTTTATTAAGAATACTCTGTCATTATAAAAAGGTGCCTATGACTTCTTTATGATATTGGCAGTGTGAGAATTGCTTTGTTTGTGCTGACTTTCTGGCTTTTATCTAGGAAGGACCTTGCTGTCTCCCAGCTCCTGTGGGCATTAGGTTTCATGAATGTCTCTTGGGAAGAGGACAGCTCTGTAGAGCCTAAGTTTCAAAAGTAATTTTAAAGGTATTTTTTTCCTTTATGCTTTTTCTTAAGTTTATTTCAGTATTAAATTTATTGCTTCAGTTAAAGTTCAGCTGATATTCCCTGTAATATACACTGTGCTGCTGTGTCCCTAAGTAAAACTTAAACTGAGGTCATCCAGGTTATCCATTCTTTGGGAGGAAGCTGCAGTAGGGTGGAGAGGCTTTTAGGCTGGCTGAGAAGGGATTGGAAAACTTAATAGCAGGCAAGGGGCTAGACCTGGGTTTGTTTTCTCCTTGCATTCCTGGCACATCCTATGACCTAGATTTGTTCGTGTAACCTTGGCCTCAGTTTACCTAACAGGAACTCTGCTTGTCTCAGAAGTGTTCAGATGGAAGTTGGTGTCCATGCTCATATAATTGTTAGACTGTTGTGCTTTTGAGCAAGTGGTCAATGCTGTCACTATGACATCAGCAAAGTGCCATTAAACTACCCCATTTCTCAGATCTTGGACTTCCATAGGCACCTGTTCATGGTGCACCTCTTGGAACGTGCAGGATTGAACACCATCCAGTGGGATGTGGCACTAACATAGTGTCTGTGGGATTTAAAGATACAGGACCAATGGGTGAAGAAACCCTTGCATTGCTCAGTCTGTAATCCTTGTTTGTCAGACAAACATGCTGTCTGAATGAGTGACAAATACTGTGTTTTTGTTACAGCCCCCATTCTCCAAATATCCCTTTTTTTTTTTTGTCTTTCCAGATTGCATCCAAGAGAGAAGCAGTGAGATGCACAGTGGGGAAAATGAACCCAGCAGTCCATCCTATCCTGTACCTGCCTGAATATGGGAAGTGACCCAGTAGAAAGCCAGAATGCAGCTGGGCTTGCAGTATTTTTAACCATATTAAGTCCTGTTCAGAGTTAATGGTAAGTAATCTGCTATGAGTATGATATGATTCATTAAGCAAAGCATTAGAGCTGGGGCACTTCCCTTTGTGGTGCTGGGTTTAGTCACTTACAAAATGCAGAATTAATGTTTCCAGATACATCAACTTTATTCCATTTCTGTTGAGAAAATTGCACAGTGCATGTAATATTGTGCACATATGTTGTTTTTTTCTGTTTTTGTTATCTCCAGATGAGCTCAGTGAGATGGTCTCAGCAATGCTGAAGAAGGGAAGGACAGAATTGGAAGGCAGGAGCTATTTCAAAGCAGCATTCTTCATCTTTCTGTAATGCCCAAACATGAAGACTTTATAAACTTCATTAGGTAGAGTATTGCTAATAGTGCCATGTCAGTAATGTTGCATGATGTAATATGGCATTGCTGTGTTGTTTAGTGATCATGTGGAGCTGCATTAAATAAATGAACATATGCCAGTGACTTAAATGAGCATTATAAATGAGAGCAGTAAGTGGAGAAGGTGGGTACTAGAGGAAATGCTCACAGCTTCTTCAAATCCACTGTCTTTCTTTTTTCAGCTCTTTGCATAACCAGTAGTGCTTTTGTGTCTTGATAGAGATATTAAAAAACACCCAAAAAACAAACAGCATCCTTTCATTGAAGAAATTGAATCTAGTTAAACTTCTTAACCAGAAAGACTTCACAGTCCTACTAGCTGTTAGAGCATCTTAATGCTTTGTCCAGCAGGAAATTGCACTCTCAGTGCTGACCTATTAACATCTGTAGTGCAGCAGCATGTGCTGCTCTTGCTCCTCAGGGCTTGTGAAATGTCTGCTGTGGCACAGCCCTCTGTGACCTCTTGCATTGAAGGATGGAATTTGTGAGTCCTTTTCTGTCTGGAGCTTGTGGGAGCTCCCTCCTGAGCCAAATAGTTCTGAAATACTGCAAAAAAAGATCTGACAGTGTTGTCTGGGAGATGTGACTGACTTAATTATTATTAACATTTATTAAGTGCCTTACAATGGAGCAGAAGAGCCATTGCCTTCCTTTTTACAAATAGGAGAGCTGGCATGTAAGGAAGAATGAATCTCTTCTATCTTCTGCAATTCTTGACCCACCTAATTAGGTGATTGTCACAAGAAATGAGAAGCTGGCTCAGGGGAATGGCACAGGGGGAAGCTGCCGGCGTGTTCTGCGCGCTCCGCGCTTCCCCTCGCACAATGGCTGAGCCTGGGGAGCAGGGCTGCCCTCTGCCACTGTCCCTGGGCCAGGGAGGGCGTGTGAGGGGGCTGAGGAGCCTGGGGCTGTCTGTTGGATAGCGTCATTACAGATCTCATCCAGGGAAAAAGTGGGGAACTGCAACTCATTTCTAGGAGCTACTTTGGTTTTTAGCAATTGCTCACCCACTGCCTCCTCCCGCTTCCCTTGGCTGTGGAGTGGCCTTTCCCCACAATAAGCTGATTTTCTTCATGGCTGATATTTACACTTAGCCTCTAAGGCACTAACTGCTTCTTTAAGACTTCAGTTTCTTTTTTTTTTTTTTTTTTAATAATTTATTTTGCTGAGAAAGGGAATCTGTCCAGCTGCTACAAACAATAGTGGTTTTGATGTATATCAATAAAGAGTTAGAGATGTATGTTTTCCAAGTAGAAGATAAAGAGACTTAAAGCCTGCTTTAAAGGAAGGCAAACCTTGGAGAGGTTTACTTAGATGTACAATATGCCCTATTCTTTGATTTTTAAAAACAGTATTAAGGGATTTTTTCAAGAAAAGAGAAAATAATTTCATCTTTTTGGTTGCATTTTTTTCTTAGTCTCACAGTTGTAAGATAAATATTCAGAATTAGGAGTTGCTGAGGTTAATGTGATTAAAATGAGTATGTGATAACAGGCTCTGCACATTAAAGATTAAGAGCTCAAATTATAGACTCCAGAGGGAAACACTCCATGAGCATTTGTAAATTTTTTTTGTGCAAAAAATACAGGCTTGGGCCTGTGGTTGCAGTTGCACAAAAGTTTTATCCTGTTTTATCTGCAGAGAATTCTTTTAAACACTGTAGTGTTGGGGTGAAAATGTAGTGAGGTGGGGGGACAAATGAGGAAATAATTTTAATGTAAGCATAGATGTAACTCTGTAAAAATAAATTAGTTTTACACAATTTATTCACATTTACAAAGGTCAGTTTATAGTATTCTGAGTGCAGTAGCTAATTCTTTATGTATAAATTGATCCTTTATACAGATGTAATTCCATATACAACATTTAATCTTTGAATGCAAGTTGAAAATATATTAGCAATTAATTTATGTAGGTTATGACTTTCTTTCGTACATACTTTGCAGTGGTTCCTGCCCTAAAGTTGAGTCAGTGTGTGCTTAATGAAAATTAGATGTGAAATGTAATATGTAGAGGACAAAGAAGCATTGAAATCCTTATTGCTCTTAAAAAGACAAAGGTACCTCAGATAATTTTCCTTTCTTAATCTCTTAAGAATTTGATGCATAATTCTGTTATGAGCAATTTGGAGTGAATAAAATATTTTTAGAGGTAGTATTAGTACCAGATATTATTTCTCACCTTTTATGAGGCATAGTTTGGTTTTAAAATTCAGAGTGCTTTGCATTTTGAGAGGCTCATTTGTAGGCAGTCTTCCACTGAGAAGGAAAAGCACCTTGGACGTTTGTGGAGGGGCAAGCCTTGTTATATCTGTGAAATTTGCTAATGTTGCAACCATTGAAATAGAGTGTTTGTTTACATAACAGCAGTGGCATTTCTCCTCCTCTTCCTTGTGGTTTTGTCCAACTAGATGTTATGAGTGGCAGTTGCAGTGACTGCTAAGTGTTTAAATGATGACACCATTATGTGAGGTGATTTTGAAATGAGAGATTCCAGCCAAGAATTACATCTGCTCTCATCTCCTTCAAATCATACTCTCTGGCTGTGCAGATTATGATTGATTTGTTTGTGACAGATTGCAGGAAACAGTCATTGATTTTTCAATATTTTACCTTAAAATTATTTACAGTTGTAACCAAGGGGAGGTATTTCCATGGGCTGTCAGCCCCTGAAAGACTGGGATAATATTCCCTGCTCCCTGACAAGACAAATTACCCGTAATGAGTGCAGTAGCTGAAGGGTATACTTTTATTTTAAAATATGTCAATAACCCAGTGACTAAACGAATATTGATTCAGCATAATGAAGCCTGAGTAATGTGAAAATGAGCTCTTCAAGGAGCATGGTAAAGACTTTCTTTTTAGCTTGTAGCAAGAAGCTTTTCATTCTTTACTGTTAGGTAGTTGAAATGTGCAGTCTTAAACAAGTCATCCTTGAACATTGGTAATAAGTGGAGTAGTGTAACAAAAGAACTTCAGGGTTTTTTTTCTGTTTATTTTTTCTTTTTTATTTTCTCCAAGTTGTTTTTTCTTCAATATGTTTCAGTAGATTAAACACAGGAAAATGCAAGTTATCCAGGGCACAGATAGAATTACTATAGGTGTAAATATCTTTTGCAGTAATATTCTTCGGCTAGCCTAATGGCATTTTTAATGTGGAATCTCAATATGGGCATGGGAATATATCTAAATAAACTGTAGATTTAATTTCCTATTATTGACTTTTTGACATACTGATGTGTGTTCTGTGTGATCAGTCTAATATTCTTGTCCTTCAACAGTTTAGAATGGCTGGTTTATGAGCACCTAGACATACTGTGGTATAAAACTTAGTTACCATAATGCACATTTTTCTTTCCATAACATATAATATTGCATGTTTCTTACCACATGAGAATTGTGAAGCAGTAATTCATTTAAATTACAGTAATTTATGCAGTGCCATAGGTGTGGTGTGGAAAAGCATCTAATAGATTAATACAAATGTACTCAAATTGTTCAGGGTAAGGATTAAAGACCATGTTGAGGTACAATTTTTTTAAACATTAGAAGTATTGAACACTAAGAAAACCCCCACCCTATCATGTGAAAGGATCAATTGGTCATTTGTATTCAAGAGCATCGTGCAACATGGGGAAGGCTCTGCAGAGGCTCTGGGTATAGATAGCCGTGTAATCCAGACATAGACAAAAAGATATTTTCTTGGGCTGTTTGTGTGTAATGTGTCAATTATGAAATAATGTCATAGCCAGAAGCATTTAGTGAGCACGTTTGGGCATGAAGACGACTTTTCTTATTTTCTGAGGACTAACTTCAATTGCATCCAACTAGCTTGTGAAAATCTTCAGAAGGATGTTTTCCTATCAGCACACAGGTGATTTTTTTCCAAATGTCATTCCTTTAGCACAGCTAGAAACTATTTCAGGAGGCACTTGAGAACCTGTGGCATTGAGAGTTAAATGGCAACCCTGGAATGTGAGATATGTTCCTGTTTTTAATTTGCTAGTTTTCAGCAAAAAAGTGTGATGTACGTTTGAGTGGGTTACAACTAAATAATTGTAGTGCATATTTCTGAAATATTGGAGGATATTAATATTTTTTAATAAACTGAAATATATAGCTGTGACAACAGGAGAATTTGGGGCTCTTGTAAATGTTGCAAGAGATCTACAAATGTTCCAGTGTTGAACCTTAACTTCCTGCTCAGTGACATTTTACACACCTCAGGTTCTCTGCCTGTTCTTTGTTTCTGTACCTTTTTATTTCTTTGGCCAACAGCAGGAGATGGAAGGGGAGGATTCTTGTTCAGTAGCTTTCCCACAGTAGCGAGGAAGAGGGAGACTGTTCAGGGCTGGGTGCCAGCTCTGCTGTAGACTGAAGGGCAAATAAATGTTTGTTTTAACAACATCTCCTTTTCCTGGATAACACTGCATGAGCTCATGGTACCAAACTGAGTAACAGCAGATCTCTGCTTGCAAGCCATTGGCATTTTTCACTTGTGAGACAGGCAACAACTCTGGCTTTGCTGCCTTTCCCAATGATGAGTTTATTTATTGAATATCTGACATTCCAGCTCAGGCCTGAACCATGTGCTTGGCACTAAAGGCAAATGGTGTGTTTCTGGCTTTTTATTTTAATTTGTGGGTGATACTGGAGATGTCTGACGATGGTGCCTTGGAAACTCTGCAGTTTATTAATACATCTTTCTGTGTTAGAACTGTGACAATTGTTAGTCCATTTTTATGGAGGAGAAAATAAAAACCTCAGACAAAAAAATTCCTAAATTATTAATTGGTTAAAAGTTCTTGTGTCATTTGGAATCTCCTAGGAGCATAAGCCCAATTGCTGTTCAGTTAGGTAGAAGTAGAAAACACTGTAATTAAGATCATGGGTAGAGAACAGAGTAATATAATTTGTGGCAGAGATGAGGCTATTGGTCAGTCATGAAGGGCTCCTGTTTAGGGGCTGTATGTCCCTCAGCACTCAGCAACTTGCTAATTTTGACCATTTCAGTCCATATCACAGTGAACACAGTGCATCAGAATGTTCTTGTAGGTGGTTTGGTGTAACAATTCAGATCTTGATTCCATTATGAACAAAGTAGCAACCAAAACCAATGGTGGATTTATAAATTTTTTTCCTGTTTACTCAGCCTCTGTGTTATCTATCTGCTCTACAGACCAGCCAACTAAAACAAGTTTAGTTTGAAGTGAGAGATGAGAGCATGCTGTTGTAGGTGATGGAAATTGTGCTTACTGGCTAAGCCTTCTGCATGCTGCCTCCTTCCCATTGCCAAATTACTTATTTGAAATCTAAGAACTAAGGTGTGATGGAATCCAAATCAGAGCAGTCTGCAAGTGGGCAGACAGCTCTATGTAGAATTTGCTCATGTAAATGTCATGATTATTGAAACCAATTCTTTGTGCCCTAAACTGCACTTTGAAGGTGTTACTTCTTTTTGTTTCAATTTGTGGACAAATTATTGCTTTCCCAAAAGCAATTCCATATATGCAAATATTTTATTCTTTTGGAATGACCATTTTATGTATTGAAAGCTGTCAGTAGTGCAGATAGTATCACAGTCTTTGATGTGTTGGCATATGGCTTATGGTGAACTGTGAGACTGAGGTAACCCTATAAAAACATGTGAGGGATCCAAGATGCTGTGAGAGTCTTGCTTAACTGCAATGGTTAAAATGGCATGGCTGACTTAATGCATGAGTGTTGAAATCTGTGTCTGGAATTATGGAAACAAGTTGAGAAACATGAACAGAATTGATTGTTGATTATTTTCCTTTGTAAGAGCTGGGAAAAGATGTATTGTGCTTTTCTGTGGTCTTTAAAACCCGCAGTGTCCTTATTTTCTTTTTTTTTTGTTTTCTTTTGTTAACTTATCTTTTAATATGAAGTGTCATTCCCAAAATGAAGTAGTGTCCTTGGGCTGGTGGCAACAGCTGGAGTTGCAGAATTCATAAATAATTCAGAGAAGGATAAAGGGTAGGGGAATTTTTTTGTCATTTGAATCTTTATTATGTGCACACATTTCATTTTAGATACGGCATCATTTGAATTCATTCAGTATGATGATTGCACTGACCTGTCATATTTATTTTGATGTCCCTTCGAAGGACCATATGCTCTGTCCTCAGCATGAAAATGATGCAAGTTGCAAACTGAAAGGCAGCTCTGTTCCTGTAGGGATGAAGCCCTCACTTCCATTGTCACATCAGTGGATGTACAGCTGCACTGCAGCAGAGAAGGTGGAGTTGTTATGTCAGTGCAGTGACTAAGTGGCAGTGTAGCCTAGCAAAAGGTGGAAAAAAGGGCAAAACCCATTTGCATCAAGGTACTGTATGGCATTGAAAACTCAGCTGTCACTGAGGGCCAGTTGGTGTGAGGAACCTGGCATGTGGAGGGTGGAAAGGATTAAAGCCAGCTAGAAATCTGCCAAGGTGGAGGTGTGCCATGGTAGCTTTAATGTGGGAATACAATTAATTACTCTGTATGTTGGAAATGGGGTTGCCATGCACACAACCTCCTGGGGTTGCTCGGGCCTTAGTCTGGATATGCAAGGCTCAGAGCTTTTTTCTTTGCCCAATCCATGCCCTCCTTTCCTCTTGAAGCTCCTTGCTTAGTCAGAAAAAATCTTGGGTAATGTTTTTTGGGAGGGAACAGGGGAAGGAAATGTGCAGTTTTAGTTTGCCTGTTCACTAATTCTGCTGTAACCATTGCACCTGGTCCTTCATTTGTTTTGTTGGTATGCTCCTGTGGATGAGTGGTGCGTTTTCCAGAAGTTACAGGCTCAAGTTCAACCATGTCCCATAAGTAATGAACTGCATGATAATGAGTAATGTCTGGTCCCTGTTGGCTAAAGCACTGGCTGGTATTAGCAATTCAGAGTTGCTGGATAACAGGGCTCTGTTACCAGGACTTTGTTACTGTTACCTTTGTGTGTGATATTAACACCGCAGGATTGCAGCCACCTGGATATTTTCATGGGGTAAGGTGTAACAGGGAACAGTGATTTATATGGTCCACTGTGCCCATGCCAGGGGCAGAAGGAAGCCAATTGAGTGCAGGTTGGTGAAATACAACAACTGGAACCTGGGAACAAGAATAACTGTATGCAAAATGGTTTCTTTTCTAGGTCCTGCCATCAATGACTGAGCCTCCCTGAAATCTTATCAGCTGCTGCCAAGATGAGAAGGATAACAGGAAGGAGGAGTGCTTAAGTGGCTTTAATGACAATTAATTTCTACTGTTTATCAAATGACAGGTTGTTTTTTCCGCAAAACTTGATTGTCATAAGATGCTTTTGGAAGTAATTTTTGTAAAATAAAATGACAGTTTTTAAGCTGCAAAGAGCTATTGTATCTTACTATTGAATGTTGTCATTATGGTAAAAGGCTGGAAAGTCTATTTTTGAAGTAATTTAACTTGCATACTTCATTCATTTATTTTAATATCTGTTGAATGCCATGTGAAAAGTTTCTTGCTGGAATTCTTTTATTCAATGGAATACTTATTGTTACAATGCTCAATTTATTAATGTCTGAATTATTGTTGCCCTAGCCTCCTGCAAAAAGTTTCTTTTTAGTAATTCTTAAACAAATAAGGAATGAATGAGGTTTTGTCCATTTTGTGTTTTGATCAGCATATTTTCCCTTTCACTGAAAGTGTCTTCACTTTTTGGAATGACACAACAAAAAGAAAAGTGTTTTGGTTTTTGGGTTGTTTTTTTCCCAACAGCACATGTCTTTTGTGCAATGATTTTTTAATATATACACTGCCAAAATACAATTACTGGAAGGAGAGAGAGAAGCTGTTGGGAATGTCATGTTATGCCAAATTAAGAATTATTAGCTCTTACTTTCTGTGCAATCTCTTCGACTAGAACTCGACCTATTGCGTCTGGCGCGTACTTTGACTCTAGTGGAACTAATGTGTCCTTGGAGTAGCATTTCAGAGTAACTTCAGATTCATGCTTTTTCACAAGTCTGCTTTAAACTGGTGGGATTAACTTCAGAGAAGGCGAGAGATACAGGCTCCTTTGTCAGCAGCTGTGCTGGGTAAAGAGAGAGGCTTCGTGCACGCTTGCTTGCTCATTCTCTCCCTGCTAGGGAAGCAGACTGAGCTGTTTCCCTGAGCACATGCAGACTGACTTCAGCCAAAGTGAATCCTGTTATCAAATATTAGTTATCAGTGCCCTGGGTCAGTGTGATGAAAGGACAGGGCATGCACAGACCAGCTGTGCAGACGTCATGTCTGGGAAGGGGGCTGTGTTGACAAGAGTTGCTGAGGGCTGGCCCTGCTGTGTCGCCTTTGCAGCAGGTGCAGTTGCATCTCTTGGATGTGGTAAAAATTGGACGTGTTAGAAAGCTGTGCAGATCTGTCACACATAATATTCACATTCCGGGGACACCCTGGCTAATGCAGAATAAACCTGTGCTCTTTGACTTACTCCTTGTGTGTACCAGTATGGGGGGAGAGAACTGGTGTGTGTGTGTACGTGCCAGGCACCTATTTCAGGAAAATGTACCTGGTCAAGGTGTGGGAATGGTACAAGTGTTTGCATTTTCTGGAGAACACAGTTTTTACTTTACTCATCAAAGAGGCTGCCTCAGCCAATACATGCCTCAGGAGAGCTGCTTTTGATACATCAGCTGCCTTGAGTGGAGAAGGGAGAGCAGCTCCAGCAGGAGTGGCTGCTGTTGCTTTTCTACAGTGTTGAATCAGTAGATGCTGGAGTCTGGTGAGGCATCCAAGCTCTTGTTATTCCCTGTGCCAAAATTAGAATGGTATGGATAATCTTTAGTACTCAAAGACACAGTGAGTAAAAGCAGTGCACTGAACAGCTCCTTCCACACTGACCCTTCCTGTGCAGTGTAGGTGCCTTCCTGGGCTTACAAAGAACAAGAGAAAGCTGAGAGCAGCAGCGCTGCTTGTGTCTCCTCCTGGGGCACTGCCAGGTGAAAAGAACACAGTCACAGAAAGGATTGAGCCTCCAGCTCAGGTTTTGAGTTCTCCATTATCTTTTATTAGTCCTTAAGGTAAAGGATGAGGAATATGCAGTGGCCATACTGCACATATGGAAGGGAGGAAAACCAAGTGCCGGGTGTGTGAGGAAGGGGCAGGTGTGGCTGCAGGTGTGAGAGCTGTGCCCTGTTGCAGCAGCCCAGGGTTGGGCATGGCTGAGCTCTCAGTGCTGGGTTCAGGAGTGATGACTGTCACATGTCTCCCCTGGCCATGAACTAAGTGAAAATGACCTCCCCAGCTCTCTGAGACAGCCCATAATCCATAGGACTCTTTGTATTTTAAAATGGATTATTAAAGCACTGAGATTCAAGTGTTTAATGAAATGCTTGTGATCGCCTAGGAATCTATTTACCTGCCTAAGTAGTAATACACAGGTAAACCAGTGCTGCAAAATAACATCTTACATAGAGCACTGTCATGGATGTTAAGCTGATGAGTAAAATTTTACATCCAAGCACTTAAAACCATCAAATATGATAGTTAAACTGCCATACTGCTTATGTAGTGCTAAAAAGACAACAAAGTAAAACTTCAGGGAAGGCAGATTTTCTTATAAATATTCTAAATAAGAGGTTGGTTTCAGGTAGACTCCCTGGCTCTTTGGTGATTGCTGAATTTGGTCTGAATCTATCAGGAATCCCAAGCACAATGGTGTGTTTATTATTATAAACACATGACTTCTATATAAGTTCTCCTCAAATATGTTGGAGAAAACATAGTTTACCTTCTTAACTGGTACTATATGGTTACTTTCTAACTCCTTTAATTTCAGTTCTAACTTGATTGAATAAAAGGTGCATTCCTGACAATAATCTTTGCATCTGTAATGGAACACTTGATTTTATATGACTGTTTGCATACTCCAGACATAACACAACATTTTTACAGCAATATGTGTTGACAATACAAAGAGATAAAAATCAGCTTATGACAAACTAAGGAGCAAACTTTTAATAAGACCAATGAATCATTAGAAATTATTAGAAAGTGAATATTAGATTTTCTATCTTTTGAATGAAGATGATATTTTTATAGAGGTATAAGCTTGAACAAATGGCTGGGGGTGGTAGAGGAATTCCTCACTGGCTTCTGTAGCTTTTGCAACACCTGGGGTCAGACTGGCTCATCTTAGACATCCTTCTGGCTTGGAAGGGAGTGCGAAGTCTCAGTGTGGCAAATATATGTGAATAGAATAGCAGCTCCCACTGAAAAGTTACTCAAAGGTAATTAATTATCTTCAAAAAAAGATTGGGAAAGGCATTGGGAATGTTCCTGTCTCCCAGTGTCATGCCTTTTTCAAAGATCCTCTTTCACCTGACTGCTTGCTCCTGTGGGGTGTTTCATTGGCTGAGGTGGGATTTTCTGGTTCATCCATTCTCGCCCCATCCACATTAACCAAACAGCACATGAACATCTTTTCCAGGGCGTCTTCTACAGAGTGTCTGCTTCTACAAAGTGTAATATTGCCTTTCTGCTAGAAATAATTATTAGGTTGAAAATAATCTGACAACATCCTGCTGTGGATAAATTAGGTTTGCTCTCTACTAAGATTACTTAGCTGGCATCCATTCACTAACACATTACAAGAAAATGATTGCAAGTTGATTGTATCCAGTTATCTGCCTTTTTTCCTGTTTAATAGGCTTTTTGTTGCCATGCTGTCACCAAATGTGTGCAAGTCATACTTTTCCAAGTGCCCTACAGCCTGGGGAGATGGTGTTTGCTGTCCCCTACCATGAAAAGACTTTTGGACAGAAGTGTTTGGAGAAGGGGAAGGTTGTCTCTGTGTAGATTTCTGAATCTTGTGCACCTTTGGTTTTGGCCAACAGGGGTGTGTTCTGCTCTGTGGCAATCAGTACATTACCACCACAGTCCAAAATGCCAGGTATAATTAGCTCAGGTGTTTAAATAGGTGTTGTTATTTTTCAGCTTGTATATACAAGCCTGTTTTCATGCAGAAGTCCATGTTTTACTTGGGAAGAATGCTGTGCAAATCAGAAAAAGTATTTTAAGTTATGTGCTAGTGTTTAAGATTTTAGAAATAACTGTGAGGTCTTGTAGGCGCCCAGTTTGTGATAATTGGGGTGGGGCTGGCCCAGCCTCATCCCCAATGGGCACAGCTGTGAGCAGCAGGTGAGCAGCACTGACAGCAATGAGCCATGGAGTGCCCAGGGGCACTGAGCAACCACCAAAGGGAGCAGAGGGCACACAGGGGCAGGGCATGGACAGTGAGGGCACACAGGGGCAGGGCATGGACAGTGAGGGGCACACAGGTGCAGGGCATTAACAATGATGGGCACACAGGTGCAGGGCATTAACAATGATGGGCACACAGGTGCAGGGCATGAACTGTGAGGGGCACACAGGTGCAATGCATTAACAGTGAGGGGCACACAGGTGCAGGGCATTAACAATGATGGGCACACAGGGGCACGGCATTGACAGGGGGGGGCACACAGGTGCGGTGTGTTAACCATGAGGGGCACACAGGTGTGGTGCATCAACAGGAGGGGATAAAAGGTTGGGCTAAAGAACAAGAAGGACAGAACTGTGCAGCTTTCTGTAGTGGTGTGGTGTTACTCTGTGTGGGCAGATGCCTGAAGCCTTCTGATGAGGTAAGGTGCTTCTCTGTTTGGGACAAATGCTTAAAGCCTTGTGACATTGTATGGTGAGACTCTGTGCATTGTGGCTGTCTCAACTGCAATGTATATTGTGGCAAGATCTTTACTTCTTTGTTTATACTTGATTAGGGTTAGAGTTTTAAAAGCTTAGGGCTGACTCAAAGTGCTTTACAGTCAGTCACTGAGAAATATGGGCTTGGCACAACTCAAGGTTTTATCCCTCAGTATATCCATTATTGTTAGATGCTGAGTGGTTATTGTACATAGATGACTGGTTTTTTGGGTATTTTACATTTTTACATGTTCAGAGAAATACTTTGTTAAAGTAGCTCCTGGGTGAATGGAGTAATTAAAGAACTGTACTGATTTTATTGAAGCTGACATATGCTGCACATTCCTTAAAACTCAGTATGTGAGCAGAATGCTTCCAGGATTTATTGAAGGCAGACATCTAGAGATACTAGGGAGCTTTTACTAGTAGTAAAGATAACTTCCAAGTTTTATGCTGTTATATAAATCTGTCTTTAAGAAGAGAGCTGTTATTGCAATACATTGCTTGTGTTCTTTGTATTTGTCTCTGTGTGTGTTTTATGTATATACTTGTACACCTACAAACAAGTGCTTGACCTGGGCACTTTCATTTGGCAGTGATTGAATATTCTATTTAGTATTTATTTGAGGGGGGGGAAGTGTTTTAATGCTGACTGAAAATCTCAATTTTCTTGGTATGAAAAGTAATCTGCAGTATATTGTGGGGCTTTTTAATTAATTTATTTTTTTAAAGGAATACATCCCTTCTTAGTTTGGATTGCAGTTCTTACTGAGTGCTGTGGTAGCAAGGAATCTTATCAGCATAAATTGAGGGTTTCATTTTGATTAGTATGATGAGTGCAATGTTCCACGTGTGATGCTTTTGTAAGATTTGAAAAAATGGACTTGTTTATCTATCATCTGTATTTCATGTGATTTCAGAGTAAAATGTTGTCATTACTATTATTTGGCTAAAACTAGCAGACTTTTGCCTGTATATTTTGTAATGTTTGGACCTTATGCATTTTTCAAGCACTATGTTCAACTTACCATTGTTGCACTCTGTAAAATAAAATACACTATTAAAATGCATGCTGAAAGAGCATTCTTCATCAGCTATGAATAAACATGTGGAAAAGACATTTTCAAAATTTCAGGGTTTTTTGCCAAGTTGTTCCTAGTTGAGTCCCCATCTCTAGTGTGGGACTTTGACAAGAGTTCCCCCTTACCAGGATACATAAAGTGCTGTTGTGTGTCAGTGTTCTAAACTTCTAGGACTGTGTAAATGGAAAATACGCTTTATAATTTTAGCATTGTGTTAGGTATGCAGGAGAAGTTAGTTCTATGCCTGGTTGTTTGCATGAGCAGGCTAGGTATTTTTAAGTGTCTCTTTGTAGTCCAAAAAACTCATTTGATGGGCAAGTCTTTTCACATTGGGTTCTGCGAGTTGAAGACAAACATTTCTAAGCTACTCGTGTGTTTTAATACTGCGAGTCAATTCCCATGTGTTAAAGTGTAAACTACTAACTAATCCATGGGAGTTTATGCAGCAGAAAGTCATTTAATTAACACTTTTAATTTCAGCTATGAAAGAAGGTGAAAATGAGGTCTGGAGAATGGAGGGAGGCTTTGTTTTTCGTTGCTGAAGTCTCCCTGCACTCTAAGTCTACTGATGCCCGTGGTGCATGGACCATCTCCTGCCTGCTAATTAGGCCTCTCCAGTGTGCTCTCTAGAAATGTGCTGGAGAAGTTTTTTTCAAAAAATCACCACGC